GATTATTATGAAGCAGACCCAACCTCCCTTCATTTCCCTTCACAAATACCTCAGGATGTAGCTCTATCAGAGAAGAGCCTTCGAAAATGGTTAATGTAATCACAATGCCATCACCAAACCTCAAGAAAATCAGTAAGTAGCCCTCACTATCAGAGCAAGAATCCCACAGTCCAATTGTTGCATTTTTAAATAGCTGGCTTGTTTGAGTCCAAAGACAAGGCTCTAATTCTGCATTTAGTTGAAAAGTATCAAAAAAAGAGAAAGAAAAGTATCTTAAATCTCTCCTACTCTATGAGCCCTTCCCTTGGCCACTTTTGTTTTCTTTCCCAATTTACTTTATGCAAAAACCAGGTTGTTCAGCCTACAAAGCCTCCCAGATAGCAGCTCCCAGGAGGCCTCTGTTTCTGTATTTCTTCCAAATTGTATGAGGTATGAAGATTCAAGATATGGTTTTTGGCAAAAAATATTCCTTAGGTAGTGCTATATACTTTCTATAGTATCACATCAGGTATATGCGTTTTCATTAAAAACAGCTTTTTAAAAAATATTTTTTATTGATTTCAAAGAGGATGGGAGAGGGAGAGAGAAACAACGATGAGAGAGAATTATCAACTGACTGCATCCTGCAGGACTCTACTGGGGATCAAGCCGCAACCCAGGCATATGCCCTGAACGGGAATGAAACCATGACCTCCTGGTTCATGGGTCAATGCTCAACGGAGCCACACGGGCCAGGCTAAAAACAGTTTTAAAAAATATCTTTGGAGCCCTAGCCGGGTGGCTTAGTTGGCTAGAGCATTGCCCCATACACCAAAAAGCTATGGGTTCAATTCCCCATCCCTAAGTGAACATACTTAGGTTGAGGATTTGACCCGATTGGGCACATATGGGAGGCAACTAATGGATATTTCTCACATCAATGTTTGTTTCTCTCTCTCTCCCTCTCTCTCTTTCTCTCCAAAAATCAATAAAAACATATCCTCAGGTAAGGATTTTAAAAATATTTTTTGCCCTGGCTGGTATTCTCAGTGATTAGAGCATTGGCCGGCCCACCAAGGGGTCACAGTTTCAATTCCTGGCCCTAGTCAGGGCACATGGGGGAGGCAACCAATCAGTGTGTCTCTCTCGCATTGATGTTTGTTTCTCTCTCTCCCTTCCTGTCTGAAATTAATAAAAATATATTTTATAAAAATAAAATAAAAGCAATGGGAAAAATATGCTCGGGTGAGAATTAACAAAAAAAAAAAAAAAATATATATATATATATATATATATATATATATATATATATATATATATCTGTGGAGTCTCAGCCTCATTTGTAATGTTCTAATTTAAGTCAGAACGTGTTCATATGTCATATGCAATTAAAAATTAATTAACTTTTAACAGGTCCTCTGTTCACTGAAAGAGAATATGGCTTCACCCTGCATAGGCTGAGTAATGCTCATGAGGCTACTACGCAATGCCAGTGAGAGTAGTTTAGTAGGACAAAAGTCACCAAATAAGCAACAACGTGACCCCGTGGTGCAAGTCTTCCGGATCCCGCATTTACCATCCTCCAAACCCCAGGGACCCAAGGGGAAGCAGGAAGGCATCATTCCCAGAACCGTAACTAGAGCTAGGTCTTCTTCCCTTTGGGGCATTCAGAAGACCAGAGGCAGGGTGCACAGGAAAGGAACTCAACAAGATATGACAAAGCAGAACGGTGTGAAAGGTTGGCAGTAGTAAACACAACCCCTGCCACCCCCACCCCAGACACGTTCTACCTGTTTCTGTCTGGCCCTAATTCCAGGGTCTACCAATTTTACACACATAAGCTTTGGGGCTTGGCAACAGTCTCGTTCTTATATGCCTGCCTGCTTGTTCCACAGGCCGTACCTTTTGGGTGAAATGAAGGGAATGCAGAGAAGCAGCACAGCAAAGACCTCTGCATAGAGGAAGGTGGCAACTGCAGTCCACTGCAGGCTCATTCTGTTGCTAGAAGATTTTCAACAGGGAGATGTGAGCTTCTTTTCTACAGGGCACAGAACGAACAGGAGTCATGAAAACTGGACAGCCATGCTACCCTGGAAAAGGGGCGCCACTCAGCAGGGAGACTTAAGCATTCATGCACAAAGGCCTGCCCAACTTCCACCTGCCGGGGCGGAGTTACTTTGCTGTCCCCTCCAGTATGTGCGTCAACATGTCCAGAGCCACCTTCTGGACAATTCCTTTCCCCAGGGAGTCCAAGGGACACCTTGTACCTGTTTAAGTGGGAACGTGTTTTTAACAAAGATTATATAGATAGGAGAAAATTCTCAACACCCATCAGGCCCGCTCCCTTCCCAGAGACGGGAAGCTCTCGGCAGAGACTCCCAGCTCCCAGCCGGCTCCGCGGCGGCAATATTTCAGAAACGCAGTTTCTCCAAAAGCGAGGGCACCCCCCCCCCCAACCAGTCCCGGGAGGCCCTTCCCTAAAACCAGCAGCTCCCTCTGGGGCTAGAGCGGAGCTTAACAGGCTTCCAGACTGCCGGCGTCTGCCTCCGATGGGACTGGAGGACTCGGAGTACCTCAAAAAGCCCACAAGAGCGACTCCTAGAGGGCGGGAGTCAAGCGACATCAAGGGCCAAGAGCAAATGCAGGTCTCGGCTAAGTACCTCACCGCTGCATCCAGAGAAACTTCTAGAAGCAACTGTCTACTCAGAAGCCGGAGGAGACCCTCCCGGCGGCCTGCGGTCGGCCAGTCTCACCTGACGCCGCGCACAGCCTCCCCGGAGGCGCCTCGACGTGGCCCTAGCCCGGCACGCCCCCCCCCCTCCGCCCCAATTCCCAGGCCCGAGGCTCCTCCGGAGGGGCTTGGCCACCGCCCTCCGACACCGCAGCCGGCCCTCACGCCCCCGGAACCGAGCTCGGCCCGCCGCCGCCCCCACTTCCCTCAGCCCAACCCTGCCCCCGCACTCCAGGATCGGCCCTCGACCCCAGGGCCTCTCCACACTGCCCGCCGCTCCCCGTCTTCGAAGAGCAGAGGGGACCTGGGCGGCCCCAAAGCCCGGACAGGCTTGCGGCCCCGCTCACCGAGTTTCTCACAGAACCGAGCACGCTCCACTGCTGCAGCCAAACTCTCCCACCCTGGCCCTGGCCACGCCCCTTCCCCCGCAGCCGGAAACCGGAAGCGTAGACAGGGTCCCGCCCCTCCCCCAGCCGAAGCAAGGCCCCGTAGGCTCCGCCCATGGGCGCTTTCCGCCCCGGCTCACGAGCCGATGCGCCGATTCCCAGGACTAGGGAAGAAACAGAGCTTTGGAAGCGCAGGGGGGGCGGGGCGAGGCCTTGGGGGGAAGACGGAGGGGCTGGTTTCTCTAGCCCGCGCGGTCCTCCCACGTCTCTTTTGGTCCGGGAAAGGGGTTGGGGGTCCACCGTGGGGGAGAAGGCGGGGTGGGGGCGCAGTGCGCCCCGGGCTCCGCCTCCCGCCCCTCCTTCGCCTCCTCCCTTTCCCCTGACTCGCCCCTGGGGAGGGGTGGGTGGGTGGGGATTCTGGGCGGGTGGCGGAGTCACTGTCGCTTCAGCCAGGCTGTGGAGAGGACGGACGCGCCTGGTGCCCCGGGGAGGGGTGCCACCAGGGTAGGAGGAGGAGGTGGAGAGGAAGAGACGCCCTCTCTCCTTGAGCCATCTCGAGGTTCTGACCCCAGGGGCTAGGAGACTGATAAGTTCCTCCACCTCCCCTGCCTGAAGAGGCCGCGACCCTGGAGGGACCTGAGCCCACCGCACCAGGGGCTCCAGCACCGCCCCAGTGGCCTGGAGCAACAGCCTCAGGGACCACTGCAAGATTTCCAGTTGCCTAGACAACGAGCCGGGGTCAGAGCAACAACCCTTCCAGCTACCTGCCTCAACTGCTGGCTCAGACACCAGTCCCAGCCCCGTGCATCCAGCCCAGGTGACATGCCGGTGCTCTCCACCCCCCGGTCCTCGCGGGTGACCACGCTGAAGCGCACAGCTGTGGTCCTGGCCCTCACGGCCTATGGAGCCCACAAAATCTACCCCCTGGTGCGGCAATGCCTGGCTCCAGCCAGAGGCCCTCAAGTGCCTGCAGGGCAGTCCACGCAGGAGGCCTCTGGGGCCACTTCGGGCACAGGGGCCAAGGCCGGTGTGAACCGTGTGTTCTTGCAGCGACTCTTGTGGCTCCTGCGGCTGCTCTTCCCCAGGATCCTGTGCCGGGAGACGGGGCTGCTGGCGCTGCACTCAGCCGCCCTGGTGAGCCGGACTTTCCTATCAGTGTATGTGGCCCGCCTGGACGGTCGGCTGGCCCGCTGCATCGTGCGCAAGGACCCGCAGGCCTTTGGTTGGCAGCTCCTGCAATGGATCCTCATCGCCCTCCCAGCCACCTTCATCAACAGTGCCATCCGCTTCCTGGAGGGCCAGCTGGCCCTGTCTTTCCGAAGCCGTCTAGTGGCCCATGCCTACAGCCTCTACTTCTCCCAGCAGACCTACTACCGAGTCAGCAATATGGATGGGCGGCTTCGCAACCCTGACCAGTCCCTGACAGAAGATGTGGTGACCTTTGCTGCCTCTGTGGCCCACCTGTACTCCAACCTGACCAAGCCACTCCTGGATGTGGCTGTGACCGCCTACACCCTGCTTCGAACGGCTCGTTCCCGTGGGGCCGGCACGGCCTGGCCCTCGGCCATTGCTGGCCTCGTGGTGTTTCTCACAGCTAACGTGCTGCGAGCCTTCTCTCCCAAGTTTGGGGAGCTGGTGGCAGAGGAGGCGCGGAGGAAGGGGGAGCTGCGCTACATGCACTCTCGCGTGGTGGCCAACTCAGAGGAGATCGCCTTCTATGGGGGCCATGAGGTGGGGCAGGTTGGGGTGCTGAGCTTGGAGGAAAGCATGTGGCTGGGAGGCCCAGGGGCAGGCAACTGTGAGTGGTGGGGAAAACCAGGGCTGGCTAGAGTTGATGCCAGAGGTGTAGGCAAACCACAGGAGAGGGAGACTGGGATGATGAACAGGGCCTGGGACAGCCCAGATTTAGGCACAGAAATGGAGAAGCAGGAAGGCTGGGTGGGACTGCCCTGGGCCGGCTGCCTGGCCACTTCTGCTTCCTCTCAGTGAGGCTGTCCTGGGCTTGGAGCTGCTTGGGGCTGCGGATCCTAGCGGTTTGAGATGCTAGAGCTTCTGTCTCGCCCCATTCCTGCAGTCAGCTGGAAGGAGGCTCCTGCTGTCCGGGATCAGGGATGGTGGAACGTGGCCTGTTGCCCGGCCCCTCCTGGGGCCCAGGGCCCTTTGAAGGCCGGCGTCCAGCTAAGCTGGCCAGCCAGGCAGGCAAGCGTTACGGGCATGACTCAGCCCAAGCGGAGTTTAACAAGCAGCACCCAGCGCGCCGGCCTCAGCAGTGGCCGCGCTTCTCCGCCTGAACTCAAGGGCCAGCCGGGCTGCAGGCTCGGCCTCCTCCCTGAGGCCCTGAGGCAGGGATGCAGGGCCCAGGCCGCCACCTCCGCGAGACGTACTTCCTGTCCGCCCAGTGGCCACCCTGCCCCTGGCGTGGCAGACCTTCCGCCTGTGTCCCAGGGCTCAGCTCCCCAGTGGGCCGGGGCGGGGAGAGGGGCAGGGTCAGCCTGGGAGCTGGGCGCTGGGAAAGGTTACTGCCGGCCAATGCTCCCTTTATCTCGCCTCAGCCCCTCCCCTTCCTCGTGCCTGGGGTTGCAGCTGCCTCCGGGCCCTGCTCTCCTGCTCCCCTGTTCTGTACAACTCTGGTTTCGGTTCCCAGTACTGGTGTGGGGGGGAGGGGTGCAATGACATCCACCTCCTGAAAGCCTATGTGTCCTCCCTGGGTCAGGTGGCCTCTTGCCCCTGGGCCTTGTTTCACTGGCTGTGCATTGGACTCCAGATTAGGAGAAAAGCGCCTAGTCTGCAGCCTCAACCCCCTCCCGTCCTCTGGCGCACGCGGCTGCAGGGCCTTGGCAGGCAGCCGTGGCCTTGGGTGAGGCGCTTGGCACATTACCCGCAGCTACATTGTCAGCCCCAGCTGGCACTCCTGCCAGCTCCCAGCACGAGTCAGGATTGCCAGGGTGCTCAGAGGAGGCGTGCTCACTTCAGGAACAGGAGATTGGGCTTGAGGCAGAACCACAGGATGCAGAGGACCTACCTATATGGTGAGGGCAAAAGAGAGATCACTGGCTCTTTGAAGGACTTCCTGTGGGCTAGCTTCAGGAAGTAGCGTGTTGGCTAGGAGGGTGCAATGGGGGGGTGCTTAGGAGGGCAGTATACGTTCTCAATCTGTCTGTTTAGGCCTCTGCCAAAGGGCTGGAAAGCAACATGGGACAACAGGCCCCCATGGGTGGGTTGATTTTCCTTATTGTGCAGGCATGTGGCTCATCCCAGGCCCACTGACTGGTGTCCCAGTGGACACTGGCCTAGAACATGTTAGGGCAGAGGTGCCTGGCTGGCTTGTGGGAAGACAGCAGAGTATTCTTTTCTTATTGAGCTTTCAAAGAGGAGCGTTATTTAAACACAAATGCACCCACATATATACACACTGCAACCTCTTGTTGGCTTGAGAGCAAGATAAACTTTTCTTTTTAAAAAATATTTTTTATTGATTTCAGGGAGGAAGGGAGAGGGAGAGAGAGATAGAAACATCAATGATGAGAGAGAATTATTGATCGGCCACCTCCTGCACACCCCACACTGGGGATCAAGCCCGCTACCTGGGCATGTGCCCTGACCTCCTGGTTCATAGGTCTCAACCACTGGGCCATGCTGGCCAGGCGGTAAACCTTTCTTAATAAGTCAAAAGCATCATTTACAAAACTCTGGTTCTCCTGATGGCTCTGCCAGCGTGGTCCAAATTCCACACCTCTTGCTACCTTCAGGTTGTGTGAGCTTGGGCAGGTCACTGCCTCTCTGGGCTTCTGTAGTATTCTACTGTACAATGGAAATGAGAATACAGGTAGAGTAGCATGTGGTGAGCATCAAATGGAGAGTCAAGTGCCAAAGCACTTGGCTAAGGAAATGGTGCCCAGGCTGGGCAGCTGTTGTCAGTCAGGGGTGGAAAGGCAGAGCTGGGATGCATGCTCCTGTACTGAGCCAAGAATCCATGACCCAATGGTCCCCTTGCCTTGACCACTTCCTGACATCTCCAGCACCCCCATCCCTGCCTACCTGGATGCTGCTGTCATGGGAGAGCCTCTTTCTCTCCCACTCCCTTTCCTGCTCTCTCTTCTCCAGGCCTAAGATGGCAGGTGCTGGCCAGTGCAGGAAGCGGGAGGGGAGGGGAAGATGGGGAGGCCCACCTCCCTGGAGCCTTCAGTTGGCCATTATTGGGGGGGCCTCTGGGGCTGGCTCAGGAGCATGCCCTCCAGGTTGCAATGGGAAAATGAAGTGGAAGTTTCTCACCCAGAAGATCCCTGGGGAAGGTAGCAAGAGGCGGGGCCTAAGTAGACTGTTGATCCAAGTTCTTCAAAATGAAGTACTGCTTTTTGCTTAGTTCAGGTTAGTCCTCCAGTAGTTACCCAAAAATACAGGCAAGGTGGCTACCCTTGGCCCATGTCCAGAAGCTGCCCAGGGCAAAGAGAAGGGCATAGTGAGCTTCCCAACAAAATAGGTAGTAGAAAGAGGGAACCAGAATAAGCCTCTGCAGGTGAGGTCATGAGTCCCTGCATCATCACTGCACCCCAGTGCCATGATGTCAGACAATCCCATACTGTCATCCCCACCCCCCGCCCTGAGTTTGAGAGCTTTTGACTGTAAAAGTGGCCCAGTCATAACCCCCAGCTCTCAACCTTTTCCTGGCCATCAGATGGCATGGCACAGGTATACTTGGAGATTGGGACCTCTTGCTATCGTCCCCATGTTAGCTACCATGAGGTCTCTCAGGCTCTCTCTCTGTCACCCCCGCCCTGGCAGGTGGAGCTGGCCCTGCTGCAGGACTCCTACAAGGCCCTGGCTTCGCAGATCAACCTCATCCTGCTAGAGCGCCTGTGGTATGTCATGCTGGAGCAGTTCCTCATGAAGTATGTGTGGAGCGCCTCAGGCCTGCTCATGGTAGCAGTCCCCATAATCACCGCCACTGGCTTCTCAGAGTCAGGTGAGAGTCGGCACTCCCAGGGGGTGGGGGCGGGGCCCAGTGCTCAGCCGGTCCATCTGCTCCTGAGGC